GGTATGAACTTTCATTTGATCTTTAAGTCAAATAAATTTTTTCTTTGGTTTGTAAAATTTTAAATTTTGACTCTTTTTTTGTTTTTTTTTTTTTTTAATTTTAACTTACATATCACATTAATTTATGTCAAAACTTATTTTTTCTTTCAAATCAATGACATGGGAATTTTACATTGTAAAAATTGATGATGTGAAAAAAATTTATTTTTATATTAACTTTGAAAACTTATTTAATAATGAAATTATCATTAGATTAAAATTTAATTTTGATCTTTAAACTAAAAAAAAATCATATTTGGGACTAAAAATGAGATGACATTTAATACTTTAGGAACCCAAATACAAATTTATTTAGTTTAAAACCAAATTGGAGGTCTACACCAAATTTTGGAGTTTAACCAAATAGAAAAAATAATGTGGCATGGCTTTGTTTAGTTTAATCGTATTCAACTATTATATTCATATAATTATTAAATTATTTTATTATTATATACTTAATCAAGTAGTTTATATTTTCAAAGTTAAATTTTATAGTGTTTTTGATATGTTATATGGTATAAGTTGACTTATAATTTTTATAATATTCTATTATTAATGAATGTGTTTATTTTTATTAAAAAATAAATTAATAATATTATTCCTGAACATAAAAAATAATAATATAATAATAATGATGATGATAATCATTATTTCCGGCTTAAAAAAAAAAAAAAGACCCTTTGGATGGTTACTCCCGATTTAAGGACAAATTATTTCGGCTTTGATAAAGTTGTACACTACACTCAGAAAATATCACCCACTGATGGGCTGGGCTACAATTGAAGCCCACCTAATATCCATTATGTAATGGGCTGGACATTGTTTGTTCTCCCGAGTCTATCAATGAGTTAGAAACAAAGAACCAATGCCCATGACAGTGTCACCAAGCGTGATAATGATGTTGGGTGGGGGGGAACAAATTAATGGACAACATTCGTCTTTCATTTCTCATCAAAAGTGCATGACTAGTTGCTAAGACCTTCATTGGGAAGAGATTAATACTACCAACAGAGATTAATTACTGGTAATGAAGAAATTAATTACACCAAGATTAGAAATTGGACCACTTCTCACCACTTCCTAGCATTTCAATAGATACCGTAACGATTGTGTACATATGTTAGTTATGCAAGTCATAAATTCCATGGGGCATTAGCTCTAACTCTTTATAGAGGAGGCTCCCCGGCTGTACCTACCTTTAGGTTTTTTAATCTATTTTCTTATAGTACATGTTAAAAATTTAATAAAAATATATTTTTATTATAAATTTATATTAAAAAAATAAAAATTAATTTTTAATTTATCAATAATTGAATTAAATTTATATATTTAGTAATGATACTAAAATTAATATTAGCTTTTACTGCTTTGTTTGGTATGATAATTATTTTGAGTTTTTTATTTTGGTTTTCAAAAAATTAGAGTTCATCTACAAAAATTCAAAATTATTTTGTAATCCACTATTAATATTGTCTACTTTGCTTCATTAGGTCTCATAATTTTAAAATACATAAATAGGGGTTAACGGTACTCAACATCTCCTTTTCTGCTTTGTTGATACGAAATTTGTGTAGGGTGTCACAAATAATTAAGTTGATTTTTTTTTTAACCACCTTGATGTTCTTAAAATATGTACAATAGGTAACAATGAAAAAATTATCAGCAGTTGGATCAAATAACATGTCAAAAGTAGGCACCACTTGACAGCATGTCTTACCGTTCATATTCACATTTTAAGAAACAATTTTAAAATGATGAAAAAAAAGGGAAGAAATCGAAGTTCCATTTTAGAACATGTTACAATTGGTTAAAGTTTTATTTTTGTTCTATTTTTGAAAAGAGACCAAAACCCTCTATTTCTAACTTAGATATTATTATTTTTATATGGTTAATATTCTCTTAAAATTTCTTTTTCAATCACCACTTTTCATAATTTGAGACTCATAAAAAAAATTTAAAATTAATGACTAAGTTATGTATAAGTTATGGTGTAAATAAAGAATTTAATCCTTAATTTTTAAATTTTTTTATTAATTTTAAATTTTAAAAAATATTAATCAAAAGTAAAAGTTTTAAAAAGTATTGATTATAAAATATAATAATATTCAAGATATAAATAGGGGGTTTGACCTCTAAAAAAATAATCTCCCATTTACACCTACTAAAACATCATGTCCTTAGTTGCACTTTACTCCAACAGTAATATCCTCTTTTCTTCTTCTTCTTCTTTTTTTTCACTGTTGATTATATTATTTTTTTCATTTTTAAAAAATAAAAAAATAAAATAAAATTGTGAGGTTAAAAATAGTGTCTCACAAACCAGAAAGCCCGCTACAACTACGAGTTCTGAAGCTGCTCTAAGTAGAGCCATGCGAAGGCGTCTCTACTCCTCCCATGCCAATCAATGTCATCAAACCCGCAAATTCTTTTCCTCTCTCCCGTCCCTCCTCAGGTCCTGCAAAACCCCACATCACTTGGGTCAAGTTCACGCTCATATCGTCAAGAAAGGTCTCGAACAGGACCACTTCCTCATCACCCTCTTCATCTCCGTCGCCGCCTCCCTTTCATACTGCACCTCCATCTTCGATCGCGTTCTCCGCCCCAGTATTTGTCTCTGGAACATTCTTCTCAAAAGGTACGCTAGTAAATCGCCCTTTGTGAAAAGTCTTTCGCTTTTTATGCGCATGAGGAGAGAGGGTGGTGTTCCGGATAAGTACACGTACCCTTCGGTGATTAAGGCCTGTTCGACCGAGTGCAAGGTGTGGGAAGGGAGAGCGCTGCATGGTTTGGCTGTGCGGAGTGGATTAGAGGGGAATATCTTTGTGGGAACTAGTTTGGTTGATCTTTATGGGAAGTGTATGGAGATTCTGAGCGCACGCAAAGTGTTCGATGAAATGCGCCAGAAGAATGTAGTTTCTTGGACAGCTTTGGTTGTGGGATATGTAAGTATTGGTGATTTTGCTGAGGCAAAGAGGGTGTTCGAGAAAATGCCACAGAAGAATGTGGCGTCTTGGAATGCATTGATTGGTGGCCTGGTGAAACTGGGGGATTTGAACAATGCTAAAAGGATTTTTGATCAAATGCCTGAGAAGGACGTGGTTTCTTATACGATAATGATTGATGGGTATGCAAAGGCAGGAGATATGGCGACTGCAAGATCTTTGTTTGAACTGGCTCCAAAGAGAGATATTGTAGCTTGGTCAGCACTGATTTCAGGATATGCACAAAATGGTGATCCTTATGAAGCTATAAAGATTTTCACTGAAATGGGTACTACAGGCATAAAACCCGATGAATTTATAATTGTAAGCTTGATGTCAGCATGTTCCAAAGTGGGTAGCTTGGAATTGGCTATGTGGGTTGATTCTCATCTCTGCCAGAATGCCATTGATCTTCAACAATCGCATGTCTTGGCAGCTCTTCTAGACATGCATGCAAAATGTGGAAACATGGATGGAGCGATAAAGTTATTTGAGGAGATGCCTAAACGGGACGTAGTTTCATACTGTTCTATGATACAGGGATTGTCTATTCATAGCCGAGGGGCTCAGGCTGTTGAGCTTTTCAACAGAATGCTACATGAAGGGTTGATTCCAGATGAGGTAGCATTCACAGTAATCCTAAATGCTTGTAGCCATGCTGGGCTTGTTGAGGAGGGTTTGCATTATTTCAGGACCATGAAAAATGAGTATTCATTAATTCCCACGTCTGATCATTATGCTTGTATGGTTGATCTTCTTAGTAGGACAGGACGGCTAAAAGAAGCCTACAAGCTTTTAAAATCCATGCCTGGGGAACCTCATGCAGGTGCTTGGGGTGCTCTTCTTGGGGCCTGCAAGTTATATTGCAATGTAGAGTTGGGGGAGGTGGTGGCAAGTAGACTGTTTGAGATTGAGCCATTGAATCCTGGAAATTATGTGCTGTTGTCCAACATTTATGCAGCAGCCGAACAATGGTTGGATGTTTCTCTTTTGCGGAACAAAATGAGGGAGCAAGGTGTCAAAAAAATAGCTGGTTGCACTCGGGTTTACCGACAACTGGATTTGGATTCCCTGAACTAATTGACTCTCACAATTCATCTACTTTTTGCTTTGTTATGGGGGGCTGGAATTACTGGGATTTAACTCTAATTTCCTTGTGCAAGAGATGGAGCTGTTCCTGTACCTATTCAGGATCTAAGTATTTCCCCTAGCACACAGCTTGACTACATTGCTTGCAAAATGATTCAACATTAACTGCAGTTTGGGAAATACAATCAATGCTCCATGGTTTTGTAGTTCCAATAATTGTCTGTGGATCAAATACTGCTACTCTTCCTCTCAGATCTCTCTAATAGTTGGATGATTAACCAAAACATGAAAATTGCAGGTCAGCTAAGGGATATACTTGGATTGAGGTTCTGATTTTTCCTGGATATACCATCAATGATCAATGTTGTAAAGTCAACTCCATACATTTTGTTCTAAGTTATGTTATGTTTTGGTTTTTCCAAATTACAGGTGAATTTATTCAGGACTCTGGCAGTCTTATTCTTTCTCCTCTCAACGGAAGGTGAAGTCTTGTATAGAAAGGATGTCTGTTATTCAAGAAGCTCAGCTTATCTCAGCCGTTATGCACTATCAAAGACTTACCCCTGCCATCTCATTTAGGTATTGAGCTTTATGTAATGCTTCCATTCTTTGCAGACTACTTGCACGGAAATGTGAGCTGTTGCCTTTTTAAATGTCATGGTTTTTAACTGAACTGTAAAATGGAAAACATTTTTCTGAATTCATTTAGGAGATGAAGGAAGGAGTGAAGATTGAATCCTAGACTTTGTTAGTCCAAATTAGGGTTGTTATTTGGCTTACACCTATTTAAGAGGTGACATGCAAATCAGTATGAAAAAGGAAAGCTTGATGATTTCAGGAGGCAATCAATTTTTGTAGGGTCATTCCCATTCAATGTTAGTGTTGGAAATCAAGGTTGTGATTGTATCTTTTACAACTCATGCATCAAATGTACATAATTAGAAACAGCAATATATGCACAGTGCTTGGAGACCGAGTTCCTGTATAGCATTTTGATGAGGCTAATGCTTGAATCGTTTCCTGTAGGACTTTTCAATTCTATGTATTTTCTCCTTGCTGCTTGACAGCCAGATTATTGTTATTGTTGCATGCTTGAATATTTGCCAGCCATCTATGCCAACTTCGCTTCATGATTCATGAATTTGCATTTCTCTTCATGTATGATGTCTATTTGATCATAGGCTCATGCCTAGGTTTCTGGACAATAGTCGCATCTAGTCTAGAAGATAAAACAGATATAATTCCTGATGCTACTGTCCTATGAAGGATCCATCCTACTTCAAAA